TTAAGTGTGGTACTGCAATAGAATGCCACCAACGAAACAAGTAGTTCGCAAAATTTACACAGCCACTCAACCACGAAGTGGCAGATCACGTACGGTTACAGAGTGGGGTTGCCGAGTGCTGAGGAGCATAGTGCATAGTCGCCAACGCTCTACTGACTCAATAACTGTAGAGTTCCAAACCTCCTCTGGCATTAACATCAGCACAAAAACTGTGTGCCAGAAGCTTTACCTCATGGCATGGATTTCCACGGCCGAGCAGCTGCCTTACATCACCAAGCACAATGCCAAGCATCAAATGGAAGTGGTGTAAAGCACGTCACCACTGGACTCCAGAGAAGTGGAACCATGTTCTGTGGAGTGACGAATCACGCTTCTCTATCTGGCAGTGTGATGGATGAGTCTAGGTTTGGCGAATGTCAGGAGAACATTACCTGCCTGACTGGATTGTGCCAACTGTAAAGTTTGGTGGAGGAGGGATAATGCAATGGGGTTGTTTTCCAGCGTTTGGCCTTGGCCCCTAAGTTAAGTGAAGGGATATCTTAATACTTCAGCTTAACAAGACATTTTGGATAATTGTATGCTTGCAACTTTGTGGGAACAGTTTGGGGAAGACCCTTTTCTGTTCCAGCATGACTGAGCCCCAGTGCACAAAGCAAGGTCCATAAAGGCATGGCTGGGTGAGGTCCATAAAGGCACTGACTGGCCCAGACAGAGCCCTGACCTCAACCCCATCGAACACGTTTGGAATGAATGGAGATTGCGAGCCAGGGCCTCTTGTCCAACATCAGTGCCTGACCTCACAAATGCTCTTCTGGATGAATAGGCAAAAATTCCCACAGACACACTCCAAAATCTTGTAGAAAGCTTCCCAGAAGAGTGGAAGCTGTTATACTATAGCTGCAAAGGGGGCACCAACTCCATATTAATGCCTATGGATTTAGAATGGGAAGTCATATAAGCTCCTGTACACTGTTAGAAATAAAGGTTTGGTTTCATTCATCAAGGTACAAATGTAAATGTTCCCTCAAAGGTACAACAGTGGTTTTAAGGTCCAGTTGTGAGCCTTTTCTCAGGTAAAAAGTACATATTTGTACATATTCATAACCTAATCCTGGAGATGAGACGGGGTGTGTGGAGTATAATTTTAATGGATTATGGTACAGTTATGTTCCCTTGCTAAAGGTACAGAGATGTAGCCTTGAGGGTACCACCCCAGTGACAAGAGGGGTACTGCTTCAGTGACAGTTTACTACCTTTCTTTCTGAGAGTGTAGGTGTAATGTGTCGGTGTCCCAATAGTTTTGTCCAAATAATGTATGTTTAATTTCAAAAGCTGATAAGGTAGATTTAACTTCACGGAAGACAACACACTTACAGTGCCAAAACTAATAATAAACAAAATTGTGCTGGCTCTTAGGTAAACAAACTGTATCTGGAACATGGTACCTGCTAATACACATTTTAATATGCTGTCTAAAGATAGATGTTACAGAGAAATGTTAGGATCAGTCAGCCAAGCTTGCTTTTGCTAATTCAGCTGCTTGATAAATCAGCCAGATTAGCAGGACGGTACAGCTCTCACATTTGCAGCAAAAACATTCTGTGTAAAGATAAATATTGATGCACTCTTTGTGTATTGTGTAATGTGTCAGTAAAGTTTGCTAAAATTAAAAAAATGTAAAAAAAGTACCTCCTTAGTTGTTCCAATTAGCTCCAGTGTCAGCTATAGCATTATGCATGCACAATATAGGGCAGCCAATCAGAACAGAGCTCTTTTAAATATATAACTCTTAAAGGCAGAGTCACAAAACAACCTGTTTTTTGAACATAAAACTGCACAAATGTTATAAGTGGAACTGCGTACAAGGTACAGGCTCTCTAAGTTTCTTTTGTGCTAACAGCTGTCTGGTGGCCTGAAGTGAAAGTTTAATGGACATAGCAACAGTAACTAAGTGGGACTTCCGCCAACGGTCAATTAAAAAATCTCAAACATACTTGCTTATGTGGTTTTTGCCACTGTATGACAACATTATTGAAAAAAAGAAGACTAAATGGTTAAAAATAGTAGTAGAGTCCTTCCTGAAGTCTGACCTTTGTCCATCATTCTTTTAATTCTGAAAGCAAAAGCATATGAGGCAGAAGAAGGGAATACAGCTTGAGCAGGTCAATTCTATCAGCATTCATCACACACACACACACACACACACACACACACACACACACTCCAAGGAATGCAGGGTGGAAAATCAGCTCTTTGTTGCCCTCTTAATTGCTGTTGTGTGCTTTGGTGGCACTTTGCACAGAGAAACAAGACACAAGGCAAACAGATACCAAAATACCAGACAGAGGCAGCAACTGTACCACATTTGGGCATGAGGGGTACAGGGAGAGAGCAAGACTGACTGGACATACAGGCAGGGGGGTGGATGGGGGGTGGTCATATGGCGGCAGCCTGACTGGGTCTGGAGGGACCACACACATTCTATCATACAGTCTGGACATACACTTACCCAGGGCATCAGCTGCTCAGAACAGGTGCATACCATGATGCGAAGCAGAGGAAAAGAGGAAAATATCAGGGTTTCAACTGAAACTATATTGCTAACAGGGTTTCTGACCTGGGACACTTCTCCAAAAGCAGAGTGCGAGTCAGTTAGAGAGCAGTGTTAAAAAGAGACACACATTCTACCACTTTATGATGTTCCCTAGGCTATAGTGCTTTTCGAAAGTGTTCATATCATGTGGATATAGCCAATTCGAACACCCACTACTATTTTTCATACTATATACATTTGCACACAGGTAACCTGATCATTAGTTAATTAATTGCTTTAACCATACTTATATTCCATACAGTTTAGTCACAGTCAATTCCAGAACAGCATGCCTCAACTCCCATGCCCTACCATATCGGAGGGAAAAGGCTATAAAATCTCTCCTTTTATATCAGAAAGTGCTCATGGAGAGACAGATAAGGCACAGATGCAGTTCAAACTCAAAGTGCTGAGATGTAATGTACCTCTGTACTGAAAAGCAAAGGATCTATTTTTTGGCAGCTTTAGCTTTTTTCATATTTAAGCTCACTGGCATCTAAATTTGCCTCTGGGTATAATATCCCTCATTTCTCTTGTACAAAAATCCAGTAAAGTGTTATGCAGCTTTTCACAGAGTCACATATGATGAGTACACCTGCAAGCAGTTTCATAGATCTACGGAAAAATAAACATTTAAATGGGTTGGTGGTAGTCCATCAATGAGTGAAAGACCACAGGACTAATTTGGGCAGAACCGGTTAATCACAACCTCAAATGTACAGTACTGTGCAAAAATCAGAGACCAATTTTCATTTTTTGGATTTCCAGTCAAAACGGCCATTAAGTACAAATTATTCTAGAGTTTCTAGAAGGATTAGATATAAAATAATCCACTTGCATAAAGAAGGGTAAAAAAAACTGTTTCTAAAACTGCTGAAAAAGTTACTGAATGAGAAAATGGGACTCATAATAACCATGACCTAGACCAAAACTGTCCCTATCAGATAAACATAAAACAGACAAACTTAAAGCTTTCATCTTTAAGAAAGAGGAGAAAATCAAGCTGAAAAATCCACAGATGATTCTATCCATCCTTCCTCTGTGAGAAGACAACTCAACACTATGGGTCCGAAAGGATGTGCATCTGTCAAGAAGCTGAAAAGAAATTGACAAAAAAAGATGCTTTTTGCTAATCAAACAAAGATGCGGCTGGTCTTCACAAAACAATGGACTGAAAAAACCCAGATCTCAACAACACTGAATGTGTTTGGGATTACTTGGATTGTGAAAAGCAGAAAATGCAACCAACTTCTGAGACTGAACTCTGAAAGTGTGGACAAACATCTCTGCAGATTTCTTTGAAAAAAAAAGAAAGCATGTCTCCTGAAAAGATTAGAAGCTGTAATAAATGCAAAGGATGGTTAAGTAATTATATACAAATAACTTGTACTTAATGGCTGTTTTGACTAGAAATTAAATGAATGAATTGTCTCTGTCTTTTGCACTATACTGTATTTATCTCCAAAAAGGCACTATACGTACAGTGAAGACATGCCAGTTCATATTCTGAACGAAGCCCCACCAACAGCTTTGCATGTGTATCTTCTGCTCAGTGCATACTTTATACCTTGCTTTGTACAAAGCACATAGCAGCCTGGAAAAAACATGTTTATGGAGAATCTAGGCAACACCATAATTATGTTTACTGTATTAGACTGCCAAAAAGGGTACCTGTACAAGAGAGCATCTGTTCAGCAAAAAAGGTTTTTTTTTCCCTGACTGGAGAATTTAAAGATGGAACACATCATAACCCCAGAAACATAGTGAATAAAGGGCAACTGAAGGAAAAAAAAAAACTTGGATGCAAAATCAAGCCAGATGTGTTTACACAGACTGACACAATCTCACTAATCTCTCCCTGTAACTGGAGGCAGATTAGCTCGAGCTTTGTTGTGAGCATCACTCTGAAATATAATTAGCTTTGATGTACACTCTTACGAGTAGTGACTGCATTATAGTAAAGGCACAGGATTACGTACAAGACTGCAGAATTCATGATCAGTAAGTTTCAGAGCTTTGCTGTATATTTCCCCATTCAAATCCACAAAGTAACAACAACAGCACTTTCTCAGTTACGTCTCCAAACTCAGGCTGCAGTTATTTTGTGCATTATCATTATATTACATAAAAGGCTTATAGTCATATACTGCATTGCCATCAAAACCCGCGTTAAGCGGATGTCCGATTTGCCTTCACTCTAAACCATTGTTAGACAGATTCCTGTACTGGGAGATGAGAACTGCACAGAGGATTTGATCGTTGTTATGTAACCTTCTGTTCTCTGAGTCCAGATCTGAAGCTAATTTGCCTCCAAATGGTTAGAAAGTGTTTAACATGACGTCATTTTCTGCCCACCTCACCCGACCCTCCTTCTACACAGGAAACATTGTGAACAAAAGGACGTTACCTTTCTTTGCTTTCTTCTGCAGCTTCAGGGTGTCTGAAGATTTCTTCTTGATCTCTTGTCTGGCCCTCTTATATTCTGTAGACAATGAGAAAAAGAAGACATTTCAAAATACATATAAACTGTCTTATTTTACATATAAACACCGCAATAAGTAGAACTTTCCATTAAAAGTGTAGTCATGACCAATGAGCAGGCACTATATATCCAACATTAGTTTTCCCCCAAGATCAAGGATATTAATGAGGGGTTTATCCCAAGTTTGCTGCAGTAACAACCATTTTTGGGAAGGTTTTAGATTCTGAAAGATTTTATTTAGTCACAAGAGCATTAGTGCAGTCAGGTACTGATGTTGGATGATTAGTTATGGATCACAAGCACCATTTATTCTAAAGGTATTGTATGGAGCCAAATACTGGGGGCCTTCTGACTCTTAGCATTGGTTGTGGTGATCTTAGGCTCTTGTGATAAGTGGTCTCCAACCCTGGTCCTGGAGAGTTTAGTTCCAACCTGTATCTAATAAGCTTCCCCACTTTCTTAACTCTAATACATTGGATCCAGCCAATCAGGGACTTGGGAAGAGGCTGCTCAGCTGGAGCAGGTGTGGCAAACTGTGGTGCGGAAACTAGGCTCCGCTGGAAGATAGCTCTCCAGGACCAGGGTTGGAGACCACTGCACCAGAGCATCTCACTCTATTGGTAGTGCTTTTCTATGAAGATTATATAGGCTGTGTGTGCAACTGAGCGCTTGTGTCAGCAATAGATGCCCCTTAAAGCAACTGAATTCTTGTATTAAAATGGGTGGCTATAAACGTCTAGGTAGCGCCACATTGTTCATAAACGGCAATAACCATTTCAGGATAATGAACAGTCAGGTTACGTCTTATGCTGTATTTATGTTGAAGCCAGCAGGGAGCCAATTTCATGCTACAGAGTGCTAACACTATCTCCTTTGTTATGAAAGGTTAAGGTAGTGCAGAGAAAGGTATTGCTAATGCACCACAGGGAGTCATCATATCTCACCTTTCGCATGGTCCTTGTCCAGGGTGTTGGCTCCTCTCTTCCAGTCCTCCAGCTGCTCCTGCAGAGGATTGATCAGGCAATCGATGAACGCCCTGGAACCCATTAAAGAAAGAGAACAAGACCGTCTGAGAAAGATGTTCACTACCTGTTAGGTTTTCTTTTTGATAATGCTAACACAGTAGAAGAGCAGTTTGATAGCCAACAATTTATAACTAGGTGCTAACTCTGGAAATTACAGCAATTCATTTTACCAAACATAATATTTACTTAATTTATCAACACATTTTCTTTTTTTCCCCAATTTCTTTCAAACAAACAAGTAGTTCCACATCACAGATGCTCAGCTTCTCTACACTAAGGTTGTCTTAGGCTGAGTTAATCATTCACTCCTTCTACCCATTTCACATGGCATGCAGAGAGCCTAGGAGCAGCTGAGAAGGGGCACTTTAAATTTAGCTCTCTCGTCTGCAGTCTCTCTTTCTGAGGCCGTCCTCAAGAATCCGACGACTTGACCGCAAACTGCAGATTTACTGCATGGCTAAGGAGACCTTCCAAAGCGTCTCCTCAAATCAGAGCTTCTGCGCATGTGCACTGCAAAGCACGCAACAATGTGGGCTGAGCTGAAGTGACTGGGGCCACCTGTGTTCTGCCACTACAGCTCCAGAAGTCTTGTTGCAACGGCAGACGCCGTTCTCCTCCCTGCTGCTAGCGGTCACAGGAACTGCAGGAGATATTGTTTGTTCACTTGGACTGCCTTATCCTGTCATAAACCAGGACTTTATGGTATTTAGTGTAATGGACCAGGCGGAATGTGTGAATGAGGAGTGCAAGTATATTATTCAAAGCATGTGGAATGCATTCAATGTGCTGAGCTTAGGCAAAGCAATACTGTAGTGGTAGTAATAAATAGGTCAAGCCAAGCAATGAACTTCTTGCACTTGAACTTATCTTCATACTCTACATGTCGTGTAAAACTGTATCTCATGGTAAATGGAGCACGCTCTTCGTTCTCAATCTTCCTCTGTCCTGGTGTTCCACTGCTTTGCATAGTTTAGTATTTTCCCTACTCAAACAGAACAAGTTCAGCTCTGGAAGGCCTTGTTCATTAGCCAACTAAATGAATCAGCTGCGTTGTATCAGTGTAAAGACAGAAACAGGCACAGCAGTGGTAACATTGGGGCAAAATCTGATATTAGAAATTGTAAGTATAGGCGTAAAAAAAAACAAAACAAAAAGACAAGACACTGACAGTGGATGTGGACATATAACCAGACCAGAGACAGTGACTACTGCTGTACTATATTTAACCCTGACCACAAATCCATAATAGCTGACATACTTTTACTATTTTCTATTCCATATTTTAACCTTTCATGACTATCAGATTATCTGAAAATTCTAACACACCACAGACAGAACCAGGATTGAGCAACATTGTATGTCTTTGTGCCTCTGGAGCACTCTGAGACATCTCAGTGTGATGGACAGTCGTGGCCTCACTCAGCACTCATAAAGCATTCTAGTTACATTGTTTACGATGCATGGTGTGGATTTGTGGCTCCACATAAAGACAGGTTGGTGATGTTATTTCACACACGAGTGCATTCATCTTATAATGAATAAAGGCTGGCAGCTGTGGGGTAATGGAGAAAGTTTGTGCAGAGAATATTCACATTGAAAACTGCCGCAGCTTGGCCTCGATGCTTCTGTGCCTCATACACATCCTGGTAAGAGCGGAGCCAATATCTCTGGTGCCACCTGCAAAGAACGAAAGAGGGAAAACAGCAATCAGTAATCAGCCATTCTTTAAACTAGCCTAGCATACTAGACTATTAGACTAATAGTTTGACACAGATGACTGAGAAAAAGTAGATTCCTGTCAAAATGCTAAACCTTCACAGCATGCTGCCAACATTGACACAAGTGTCCCCAACAGAATCGCATGGAGGTAAGAGATGGGGACAGGCCAGCCCAACACCTCCCTGCTAGTGTGGGATCCAAGTGGAAAACATAATGCCTATGACCTCATCACTACGCCCAAGGGAGTGCATGGAGCTTCCTAAAATTGCTTGACAAATTCTCCTCAGGGGAGCCTCCACAAAAGAATTCAACATTTTGAGAAGAGACCATAAAAGAGAGAGAGAAAAGCATCCTAAGCAGCTGGACGACCTATGGATGCACAGACGGAGACATTGTCTTGACAGGGACTCCCTCCCATGCTATTGTCCACAGATCCCAGATCTTTATGTGCTCATGATGTATATTTACAGGCTATGTCTGAAAGAAAAGAGGCTCTATAGAACTAAGGTCAAGCTTTTTCTTCCAATTATACTGGCAACTATTAAAGCAAAAGAAAATCAATGCCGGGTGAAGTGAATGACCTCTCCAAAAATAAACAGTCTACTTACAACAAACTGTCAACTATGGAGATCAAAAGAGCCCAACCTCCTAGTTAGCAGACGTTAAATTAAACAGTATTCTTTAACAGTAATCTTTTTCTTCACCACCTACTCATATCTCAGACATGTGTTGCTGTTTTTATTATCGATTCATATGAAGAGAATAAAGGATCCCTTTTAACATGGCCAGGTGATACAATCTCAATAGCTAAGCCTCATCTTAGACATGGTCGGATAAGAAGTGATAGCCACAAAAAAAGACAGGAGCGTGATGTCCATTACCAAAGTTCACTTGTGGGACATGGAACACTGGAGATCTAGAAAACTAACATAATATAAAGGTTTGGATTTCCATGTAATGGTTTTCATTAAGGTAATGAAAGGCAAATGACTGATCCTAGAGCATTCTCAGACCAGCAGTTATCTGTGTTCAGAGTTACAGATGATACGCATGAGAAGAAGGGCCACAGAGGCCAATGGGAAGTTTGATCCAGACATGGTGGCCAAGTCTGGTTTTTGAGACACTACAGAGGGGCCCCTCAGACAGAGGGCACTGACATTGGCAGCCTCTGCCTTTGTGCCTCTGGAGCAGTCTAAAAGCCTTCAGAATGATGGACGCTGCTGGCCAAGCCCCCCTGCTCTGCGGCAGCCCCGCTCGGCAATAGAAATGAATATGCAGCTCTGCTGGAAGTGACTTTTAATCTCTCTCGAAAGTGACTAACTGCTTTTGTAGTGCCACTTGTTGGGAAGGGTGAGAAAGATGGAGAGGTTCATTTAGAGACATGCCCAACCCCACAGCCCTCCCCATTACACAGAGGCCTAGTTTAAGGAAAATAGTTTAAGGAAACTCCTTAAATTTCGCTTACTGCTTTGTTAGACAATCTTTTTGGGGTCCTTTTGGTCTAAAACAAAAACGCTAAATCTCAAAAGTAAGAAATGTGAGCAATAGCAAAGCAGTCCTGAACCAATAGAACAGAATTATGAATGTGAAGGAATAAACTGAAAAAACGTAATGAAATGTTTTACTTAATTATATGTAGCTGCAGAAATGAAAGTTTCTCACTTTGAAAACTGTCACTGTCACCCCAGTAACAGCAACTTTTGTACCATTACCACGTCATCCCAGTAATATCAAAACATTTACTAGGAATGCACCAGTATAGGAAATGGTAGCTGATGCTAACCAATATTTTGCACATTTTTTACATATCTGCCAGTGCAAGTACCAACACATAAATATTTATAAGTTGGATTAGCACTAAAGAGAAATATAACAATGTGCTATAATAGAAATATGATTTCTTTACAAAATACAGTATAATTGAATTATGAATTAAATGCAAACATTTTAGAACAGCAGTCTGGTGTCACCTAAACATTCGTCTGCAGTAAGAGTAATAAATAAGTCATCAAATATTAGTTTGAAATGTTAGTCAAATCTAAATCTGTCCAAAAGCAAATTTTTTTTAAAGTATTGTCTGACGATACCGATATGACTCATATCATCATGCATCCTTAATGTTTACCAATACTATGTACTTATCTCAGTACTTGGAGTAAGTACTATGCACTCATCTCAGTACTAGCAATACATTTACCAATAAAAGCCAGTTAGGCTCAATGATGTCTTTAACTGAAACACAGGGCTATTTTTCCCCCTCTTACCAGTGGAAAAAATAGTGACAGAAATAAATGATAAATGAACACAAGTAACCAGAGGCAGATCTGTAACTCATTCATTGACACCCATTCCATTCATTCTCTATTGGTTTATGGTCTGAAAGAAACCCATTTAGGAATACGTATAGTGGAGGGAAAAACCCATGTTTCAGAATTAACTATATGGAACCCAATTGTTCACTGTCAATCCGTCTTTTTCCTCAAACGTACAGCCCTTAAAACAACAGTTCCTGCTCTGAGCTGTCAGAAGGACAGTCCAACTCTTGTTCCTACTCCAAATACACAGCCTTGTCTAGCACGCGCCCCACCCGAACACACAGACTCAAAAAGAACTATTCTAACCTTAAACAGGCAGAGCTCTTTCCCTCCCTTTCTCACTCACTCTGGTTATAGAGAGATGATTTGTTGTCTGGGTAAAGCTTGTATGAATAAGGCTCGAGAGTTCACCACGGCTCTTAAAGGGGCACAGGCAAGAGATAGTACAAGTGACTGTTTGAGTTTGCTTAAGAAACAAACGACAATGTGGCCACAGTTGAACTGCTCCTGCCTGTTCTCAGTGGTGGTCAGGCATAGGCCAGCCGGCCAGGCAGAATAAAGAGGCTTTCCTTTTTTAATCACAGAGATTAGGCTCTGCTGAAACACCAGCAGCTTTAATCCGCACCAAAGCCAGCCGCTGAAAGTTGAGGTCGTCGAGCTGAAGGCTGGTTTCCCTTGTGGGCTCCTTTAGGCTGTCAGGCAGGTCCTGTCTCTGTCACTGTCTTAGAAATGAGGCCCAAGGGAAAGCAGGTCCTAACAGAACTAGCAGTGGTGAAATGGAGAGATCACTTAACAGCTCGGAGGGGGCCTGTCCCTGATGTATGTCACGTTTGCACATTCGCTGGAAACCAAAAGAAGTCAGGCAGGCTGTTAAGGGCATTTCAAACTTTAGTGGAATCATTGCACTCTGATAACAGTTTTCGTGGCATGACTTCTCAGCCATTCATGCGTAGGTGAACAACAAATCCTAGAATGAAAACAACCCATCACAGCTTTAATGCCTGGTTTGTTCTTTTCTATCAGCAAAGGTCAACCCCATGTAATTCTGTCACCAAGTCAGAGGCCCCTGTTTTCCAGAACAGCCACAACACATCAAGAAGTCTCATCTATCAAGAATGTCAGACACTATATTGCCTCCACAGTCTATAGCTAAAACAGCGAGGGTGGAAAAACAAGCCAATAAAGCCATGTTCCTCCTTTCTTTATAGAAGGAAATGTCGGTTTCTGCGGTCAGCAAAAAATTATGCTTTTAATTGAGCCTTTTAGTGTCTTGTGACACATGCTCATATCGGAGCCCCTGCCACGGAATCAGTGGGAGGCTGTCTCTCCCGCTCCCTCCCTCTCACAGTGTGGCAGTGCTCTCTGGTTTCTGTGGAGACGGGCAAAGTCAGCCTGGGTGGACACACAAAATGAGCCCTGGCTGTGGTTTGCGCTTTCTAAGGTTTCCTGGGGAGGGAACATTGCGTCACCAAGTCCCGTCCACCCACTGTACGACAAAGCTAAGCTTTTGTAAAAGCTAGTTACAAAAAGCACACAATTGTCTGTTCTCAGGAGAGGGGGGAGAGGGGGGCGTCCACCTTGCTTTTACATGAAAGTGTCTGATATAAAGCCCACTTGAGAGGACAAATGTGCTAAGAGACCCAGTGTGCTGTTGTTCGTCCTAACATGCTCAGCCCCATCCTTGGCTGGCTTTGTAGCTGTTTCGGAGCGCTGCATTCAGATCTTGTGACCCCTGTGCCTATATTTAGCCCGGTTATGGTGTTAGGCTCCGGCTGCTGGGTGCCTCCCAAGAATGCCCAATGTTTTGTAGTGGAGCTCCTTATAAATAGGCGTGACATGGTGGCCTCTGTGATTAGCGCAGCACCACACCTCTTTCTGCCTCTGCCAGTTCGTCTGCCACTCCCTCCATGTCTGTCTGTCGGTTGGTCTGTTTTTATCCACCCTTTGTCTCCTTTGATGTGAGTTCTTACAATAGGTGTAGCGCCAGTACAAAGCACAGCACCACTGGAGTCTAAACCAATCAGTATTCCTTTGCCTCCTGACATCCAAGCAGAAGTACCAAATCACAGGTACTTATGAGTTTTTAAGCTGCTGACTCATGTTGGCACCTCACTCATCCTATATATCTCTCTCCTCCACTCCACATCTGTCCCCAGAGATAACCACATTAAGGTTATCTACAACATAAACGACTTGGCGGTACACCGAAGCAACAGCACAAAGAGTACTTGGCGGATACGGTCTAGTGCAAAACCAGGACAAATCACATCAAAATAAGCCAATTAACATGGGAAGACTCCACACTCCCAATCCTAACTTCGTCACTGCCTACAACACTATATATTTGCTGTGCAAGACATAGCAAACTAGGAGCGAAGGCTGGTGCGAGACAGTTCACGGCAGGGGTATTTGTGAGGGAGGTGAAAGCACACAGGCTGTCCTTTTCCCCAGCCTCCCGCCAGGGCCCAGGGAGAGCTCCTGGTATGTGACACTTCCCTGCCAACATGAGCGTAAAGGACGCTGGATGGGGGAGGGGCTGCTTAAAGGGGACACAGTTCTCCAACAAGAAGGCTTCAGCTGGGGACAGACACAAGGGTGGGTATTTCACAAAGTTCTTCAGAGGGGGAGAGCCAAACTAGGACT